TGAGATAAGTGATGGGTAGAGATCCCTTTGCTGAACACACAAATACGTCTGTCACCTGAAGTTCAATTAAAAAAAGTTCTTTTGAAGTTGAAAGCCAAGGGTTGGAAGACAGGAAGAATACAGTCATGCTCTAAAACTGCAGAAGAATTGGGACAAGGTAAACATAACTATTGGAATTTGGATGAGAAATCAGGACTAAACTACTCGGCCTCTTCAAAGTGTCCTAGGGTAATTATCATGTTTTGTCAGAACCTTGGTTTTAAGTGGCCTATATGATGTGCAGTATGCACAGACACCAGATAGATAGTCTATGTAACAGAAGTCCAAGCACTTAGAAGAGCTGCGGTTAAATCCTGACTTTTGTAATTTAAATTAGATGGTGTATCCAATAAAATTAAAAGATCAGTACCATTAATGTAAATGGGATTAATTGAATGTAATAAATTAAAACTATATAATTTATAAATTATAAATTAGTTACTATTAAGATTTTCAGGATTGTGCTCAAAGTTTGTCAAAACTTCTACACAGTTCTTCATACCGTAGCATATGGAACTATCAAAGGGAAAAATGTGATATTTTCATAGAAAATAATTCAAATATAGTGTGACATGACTAGATTTAGAATGATTTAAAGGAATAGATTCACAACTTTTTTATTGCATGCCTTCTTTGGACTTGTACAGTATTATGTATTCATAATGTGTTTACATTTATTATGACTGTTCATATCATTATTTTTAATTTGCATCTCTGCTACTTGATGACTCTGCTTGATTGGTACAATATGACAACAGGTAATGGATACAATAGCAGTAAAACAGTCATCACTGCTGGGACTAGAACCCTTCCCCCCGCCTTTGCTTTTTTTAGCTTTCCTCAGCTGGAAAGTTTTGACATCTGCTGATTTGGGACATGGCTGAACAGCTGTCAGCAGTGGGGTAGCTGCTTTCAGCAGCAGTTGGCGGGATGGCAGGGTGCCAGCTTGTACCATCTGTGCGCCTGACATTTCATTCTAATTAACAGTAGGGTTAATTGTTCTGGCAGGCTCAAATGTAGTGTCTAACATTACCCAAGGGAAACATGTACAAGTGCAGGAGTGGCAGGGAGCTGGGGACAGCATTGCTAACAAACCTATTGAGGGAGAATGGTTAACAACTACTGATGATTTTACTAGCTGGCCACATGCAATAAGGCTGAGCTATTTTTTTTTTTTTTTTTTTATTCAGATGAATTATGCCAAGCCTGTAATGATGTAGAAGAAATCAAGCTTCGCAAGGCTGAGACTGCTGCCTTGGGGCAATTGTGAGGGAACAATTTGCATGTTATTACTGCATATTCATACCTAATTGTGTTAGGCTTTGCTAATAGAGCAGAATGACAGTATGAAAAATCGAGCAACTGCTTTATAGCCAACAAAGCTAGTG